CACAGCACAGGCACACGCACACACACACACACACACACACACACACACAGGCTCTGTGGGAAGCAGCATTAGTCCGGCAGCAGATTAATTAAACCGTTCCAAGATCGCAGTTGTAATATGACAAAGACAACACTACGGGACAAACAGGCGGGAGGCACACTTCAATAACACTCTCTTAATAATGGCCGTTTAATCGGCCGGGCTGCTGAGCTGCTTACACACACACACACACAGCTATCAACAGGCTCGACGTCGGGGAGATTAAACAGTTTGGGCCAAAAGGGGAAAATGCCACCTTAGTAAAGCCACAGCTCTTGGCATGTAATGCATTTACAGTTGATTTATGGGCTGGACTGAAGCCATGAAGGAGGGCGGCAGTGCCAGAAGAACTATTCACCTTCCTGACAGGCAGAGTCGAGGGTCCACACACCCGCCCTCTGTGGATTAAGGACTTTCTGCTCTTATTGGAAACATTGAAACAATAATTGCACACCATGGAGATTTGGTAAACTCAGAGGCACAACAACACAAATGGTAATTCACTGGCAGCTGATCACAGCAACAAGGACCCCCGAGTTACTGAGGAGAATAAAGTGAGTCTGACATACACAGACCAACAACACACAGACCAGGGGGGGCTGGGCTGTTCCTGTTACCCTCTGGGGCAAAAGGTAGCAGTCGTGGTGGGCAACAGTAATAAAGATATGATACTGGTTTTTATAAACACTTTATAATACGAGAAGCCACAATAAGAGGAATGAAAAAGCCTTTCAGCCGCGAGGAGACCACCAGGCTGTTTATAACACAGAGTTTAAAGCACAGGATGGACCGCTGATGATGATGATGATGATGATGGGGACAGGAGAGGAAGTGACAAAAAAACAAGTGGGAGTCATACAGCAACAAACGTTATCCTAACACTGCTTCACACACAGCTGCTGCTCAGTCAGAGTAAATCAGGCGGAGCAAAAAAGCTCTACAATGATGATTAAGAGAACGGTTAAAGGTGCACAAAGGAATCTGTATAACTGTGTTTGATAAGTGGATGAATGTGACAATACTGCAGATTACAGATAGAATAACACAAAACTTTATACTTGATTATAACTTATAAGAAAAATAAGAAACGTTAAAGTAAAAGAAGATTAAATGCCAACACTTTAATCATAAAGTAATTTATCAAGTGTCAAATATTAATTAGATAAGTTCTTTAATGTAAAAAAGTGCTATATCTATATTTTATACCACAGTAGAGTTAATATCTTTGTTTTTGTGGTGGACATTTGTTTTTACATTCTTGTGATAATTTAATTTGTCTACAGTAAGAGGAGATGTAGCTTTAATATCTAATCAGTGCTCAACATTATGGCCATTGTTGAGCATTAATCTGATGATCTAACTTTGATTTGTGGTATTTAATTTGCTGTATTAGCCAGAAACAGTCCAGTTATGTTGCCTATAAACGATTTCCTAGTTGAATTTACAGAAAAACAACAATCACATAAGTTATTAATAAAATTACATATTCAATAGAAGTCTTTATCCATATCATCCAATCCAACAACAGATTATTAGATTATGAAAACATCTGCAGCTCATCCTCGTGTCTACATTTATTTACCGACTACAGGACACAGTGTGTGACAATAATAAGATATCAAATACGACTGTTTTCCTGTTATCACAATAAATCTGTTACTTGTCCGGATCAAAGTTATTCCTAACTTCCAGCTTCACACACAGGCTCTTACACAAAGGTATCCCACTGTGTAACATCACCGTTACTCAAACCTCTGACACAACAGCCCAGGTCCACTTTGGTCTGTCAAGTTTTGTTTTTCTATTCACACCACGGTGCTAAACGGGAGGAAACGTCCCCTCGTAGTTCAGAGAGTCAGACAGATGTCGTCCCTGGTGCTCCCGTGCTCGCCGGTGTTTGTGAGATAAGGTCGCAGGAAGGGGAAAGGTCACAGCGCGGTGAAGGTGCTGGATGAGAAGGCCTGGGACGTCTTTCAGTACTGAGATGTTGTCCTTGTGATAGCGAACTGATCTGTGTCCAGCTGGGTAAAAAAACCTGAGTTGTTTCTGAAGTAAAGAGCAGCTGCCAGCCCGAGATTACAGCTCACACATTCTGCCATCGTGCCCACAGTGTTCAGCACTCAGCAAGAAAGGAAAGGAAATATGCAGGTTTTCACTGAGCCAAAAACACGAGCAAAGATGGATGATAATTGTTCAATAGTGGCCCTACGCCACATCTTAGACAGACACATAATAAGAGTGGTTATTGTTCCCCCACTGTTATTGTGAAGTTGTCTAAACACAAAATTTATTTTGCGCAAATGTGCTTTACAATCAAAAGGTCAAGGATTAATCGGTTAAAAAGCGATTTGAGTAACACAACAGGGAATTACAGGAAATCTGTAAGGTCAATAATGCCCCTGAATGGTGCAAAGCAGATTTTACAGTACTGATTTATGAATATGTAGGCCCACTGAAGTGAGGAGCTGAAGGGTTACAATAAAGTGTTTTTAATTAAAGGTATTCAGGAGGAGGAAATGTTTACTTGGACAGCTGTGTCAGATAATAAAGAATATTAAACAATGCTTCAGTCACTGGCCAGGGGAGTTTGAAACGTGTGTAAGGCCTGTGGATGTCCACCACACCCAGTCTGTCAGACACTCACTGAGTTTACCAAAACATCAACCGGGACAATGACATTATAATCTCACCCTTCGCAACTCTCTTAAACACCACAGCACCTTGAACTTTGATTCCCTCTTTTAAAAACTCGCTTTAAGACCCGACTTTGAGTGTGATACAGCGCTGAGACTTTGTCAACGTTACATGTCAAACTTTAGCAGCAGTTGTTACCGCGGGTGGTGTCATGTTGCCAGCGAACGTCAGTTGGGCTTCAACTGACTGTCTTCTTCCCGCTGCTCTGTCTCAGTCTAACGGCTGGAAATAACAAAACACACATAAAACAACAAACTACTGAGCAGTGCCTTACCTGAGCGTAACTTTGTAATATTGTTAATCAACAGGAGCCTTTTTTTTTTTTTTTTGCCTCTTGCCGCTGTCCCAGCCCAGGAAGGGAAACCCGGAAACCGTCCCCGTGAGTCCGCCCTCGTCCCTGAAGCTGACTTGTTGCGCCACTGACGCCATTACGGCTCAACGGTCAGGACGGTCCCGCAAAACACCGTTCCTTGTTAGATCCAATATGGCCGCTCGAGTGTTACAGTTTCCTTAACAATACGCCCAGTAACCGGTTCTTCAGCCCGTCGACAGTAACTTCATGGAAAATGTTTAATGTACTGTCGAACCATATGATAATGTATGATATAAATTTAAAACAGAAAAACTCAGACAAGCTGTAATATATGTTTCAAATATATTTTAGTTAATTTAGTGTGAAAAATACATTTTATGTTGATTATGGGTCAAATTGTGTTTTCATGTATTTCAGAATAAACTGAATAATAAAAGTTATGACCAAAAAGTGTCCATAAACAAGTTACACTGGATATGCTGCTGTGGTGAAAAGTAAATAATATTCTAATATTTACACATTTTGTACAATTTTAAGGTCTTGTATTTCTCCATTTCCACTTTATGTCACTTTATTAAAGTTCACTACATTCAGAGGACAATATATATCCCATTATGTTTATTTGACACTCATTAATTTACAGATTGTGCATGCAAAACAGTCTATTATGGGCTTTTAAAACCTACCTGATAACAAATAAAGCATTTAAACTCAATTAAAATGGATTGATAGGCTACTTAAGTAAAACATAAATAATAATTTTCAAAATATTTTACATAAAGCATGTCTTGAAGTAAACTTGTGTATATTTTCTATATACATTTAATTAGGCCTGTATAAAAGCACCATCAAGTGAACTTGAATGGATATTTCTGGCGGAAATTTGAACAAAACTATTGTTTACAATGAGGTTCCTGAAAACTGTCCACAAATTATTCTTTACTACCCCCAACCCACCCGAAAAATATGAATATAAAAAAACAACATCAAACAGAAGAACATGGTAGAAATAGCCTACATAACATAATAATAAAAATCCATAATACAAATCCAAAACAATACTCATAAAATGATTAAATAAGTATAAAAATAATACAAAACAAGGGCAAATTAATTTCAAGAATAACAAGTTTTGGACAATCCAAAAGAGAAAAGATGTGTGAATTTATTGTGTAAAACTGTAAATTGCTCCAAAGCAGAAAGGTAGAGGATCAGAGTCTCTTAACAAACACACCATGTGAGGCTGAAACGGTTTATAATTGAAATGAATGCTTTTAAAAACTGACATGAGATTTTCTTCTCTTTTCTCTCTTATTTTCTGGCATTTTAAGACCAAGCCAATTAAGAGCCTCATACATATCACAATAGGTGTGAAATGGTCATTTTAGGCTGTATGTGGACCACAGACAAGTGGTATTAGCCTCCATGTCAGAAAAATCAATAACAAGTGCCCTGATTCACCCAACCACTGCATTTCAGCAGCTCCATACCCTTAAAACACCCCCCGTGCGCCTTCACCCCTCTCCTGCCCCCCTCTATTCATTGTAAATAACTGTTCAAACGCACAATGCGCTCTGGACCGCTTTATTCAGCCTCACAACTTCCCTGCGTTTTCATTGGTCCCTTGAGGATGCGGCGACAGCTGATTGGAGGAAAGTTTCTCCTCGAGTCCTCACCCCCACCCCGCAGATATTCGTGGTCCGGTGCTACTGTGATTCCAGTTGTTTTCACATCCCCTCACTAACAAAGAGACTCAGAGCTGCTGTCTCTTACATCTCCGGGTAAATGTGTGGAGTGGTGCGCAACTAACGATTGACGCCCCTGTACATCGAGGCGAGGACGAAGAAGTAAAGAGCAGAAATACACCTTGCTTTCAAGAAGAGAAATTAGGGTGAGCGTTTGAAAAGCTTCAGGCAGACTTGATTGAACGTACAGAGCGAAAATGGTGTCGGCCGGACTGGAGATCCTGGGACTATCTCTGTGCGTAATTGGCTCGCTCCTGGTGATGGTTTCCTGCGGGCTGCCCATGTGGAAGGTGACGGCTTTCACTGAATCCAACATCGTGGTGGCTCAGACATTCTGGGACGGCTTGTGGATGACCTGCGTGGTGCAGAGTACGGGCCAGATGCAGTGCAAGGTGCACGACTCCGTCCTCGCCCTCAGCCGCGACCTGCAGGCGGCCAGAGCGCTCACCATCATCTCCTCTGTTATGGGCGTGCTGGGGCTCATGGTTGTCATTGCCGGGGCGCAGTGCACCAACTGCATCCGCACTGAGTACGTCAAAGCCCGGGTGGTGAACGCCGGAGGGGTCATCTACATCATCAGCGGTCTGTTTGTGCTGGTGCCTCTCTGCTGGATGGCCAACAACATCATATCGGACTTCTACAACCCGCAGGTGCCCGCACCCAATAAGAAGGAGATCGGCGCTGCGCTCTACATCGGCTGGGCGGCCTCAGCGCAGCTGCTGATCGGAGGATCGCTGCTGTGCTGCTCCTGTCCTTCCAGCGCGAACTCGGGTTACTCGGTAAAATACTCACCGACCAAGAGAGCCACGCCGAACGGGGACTATGACAAGAGGAATTATGTGTAGCAATGTGGCCCATAGCAGGCGGTGCGTAAAAGTGACCTGCGGCTTCTGAAAAACGTTTGTTTGTTTTTTTGACGGATATTATCTTTGCACCTGCAGTTTTTGATTTTTAGAAATCTGAACTTTACACGCTCGGACCACAAATTCACAAATACTTTTTTGTATCTACAGGAGATTAAAAAAAGACTATCAACTACAAGAGGTAGCTCACGACAAAAAGGAGTATCTTTGTTAGGTACCTGCTCTTGTAAGTTTTCGAAAATTGTTAGTATTTTGAATTGTTTGCCGTTGTAACAGCAACGTTTTTATTTTCTATGGAAACTCTCGCCATCGACTCCATACACTATTCTTTTACCTTGATGTGCATTGTCAGCACAAACTTGTACAGTTAATGAGAATTATTGCACTCCCACACATTCAAAGACCCATTTCCTTTAGTGGAACTGCGCCGACATGTTGGGGACTCCAACAGTGTCCAATAGCAATAAAGAGCAAAGAAGAAAAGCGTAGACATGTTAAAGCCTTAATAAATCTCGGACAGGCTTTTATGTTGATGGCGGAGGGTTGGCGGTCTAATTGTGGACCTGTAGAGCCCGGAGAGGCTGGGATCTACAGGTCGCAACATAAATTTGTTACAGTCCGTTATTCGGCTGCACTGAGCACCTGTAACGTTTTTTCCATCATTGTCACTGCAGGAAGTTTTTTCTTTTCAAAACATTCTAGGAATAAACTTTGTTTTCTGTTGTTTTGTTGACGTTTGATGTAATGATTCATTATTCGTGTATATGAAGATGCAATATTGTTTCATTTTTATTAAGATTAAACTGAATATATTGTCTGAAATCTTTAGTTAAAGTGTGTTCTTGAACAAAACAACTGACAACTGAGGTTGTGATGGTCTGCAGAGGCAGGAGTGCCCTCCGCGGCTGCGCGTAATGCATGCCGTTCCCACCATGAATCCATAAACCCCCACGGCGGGAGAAAGTATTTTGGTTAGCCATAGAAATCCAGATGACAATACCCATTCAGCTAGAGTGGGGCTCTGCTGTTCAACTCACAATACTGCACAACCCCCACCACCACCACCCCTTCTCGTCCGCAGTCAATGAAAGGCGTTCAAATTAGAGCTGTGGAGAAGTTGCTGGAATCGTCTTCCCGCAAGTCACTCCATTCATTAGTCGTCACAGCCCCATCTCCCCTCCACCAGGGGCGGTGCTAAGATAGATGAGCTTCAAGACAAAAGATTACACACCATCACTTTGAACTAATTACTTCATCCACAGCTGCTTCATGGGTACCACATTTATCTAAACATTGAGGTGTCGCAGGGTTGTTTAACTTGTGACAACGATAAGAAAAACTGAATAACACAGAGTGTTTCAGCCTATGAGTAACAGTCTTCTGATTTATAACTGTGACTGGATTACAAAAGCTTATCCATACTTGTTTTCCTGGTCACTTAAGAATCTTAGCAGGTCATATGCTCTCTCTCTTAAAAGTTGAAAATATGGCCACACAGAAAGGCAGCATACAGTCAGGGGAGGGTGTGATCACTGCGCTCAACTACAGAGCCTCGACTAAAATGATAAAGTAAGTGTATCAAACTCCTGCCCATTTACTGTGTATTACATTTGACTAGCTGCACACAGAACACAATATTGATGTAAAACTGGATATTATTGCTAAGTCACTGAAATGTTCATGATTTGACTGAACAATCACGAGTCAGGGTGCAGTTTTTCCAGAGCTTTCAACCACATGGCAAGGTCTTCATCAGTCATGGAGATGGATCTGTTGCACGGTGGCTGTTATGATTTCATTCAGGACTTTTTGGACTTTTCATCTATTTTAAATAGTTAAGCATGAAAGTTAAATCTTGACCTTGGAAACAGGATTCGACAACAACAGTCTCACCACGAAGTCCGTTCAGTAGCTGTTCTGGAGCTTTTGATTGTATCACACGAGTCATGAAATTGTAGATTAAATCATTAAATTTCCCTTTTTCTGAGCGCTTTGAGGACAACAGAGAGACCTCTATTTTTCAGCACGGTGATACAGTATGAGAGATGATGATAATGATACTTTTCAAGCCTATTTTAATCCGATTTCCCACTCTTTCTCACTTTTCCAGGACGTTTTCCAGGAGTTTTTCTTGACAAAACAGGACAACACTTGCTCCCAAACGGTGGTAGACAGTGTAAGTGTACGTTGCATGTACAATTAACTTTAAAATTAATTTAAAATTAAAATTACAATTAACACTTATCAACAAAAACAACACAGGTGAATTTGATCATTAATAACAGGCTGTATGCACATAGATGTGACTGTGTGCAGCACTTCCAAAACTATTTTACAGGATATTTGGTCATTTTAATTCATGACTGGAAAACTAGTCTCTAAATGTCCAGGTTTTCCCGATTTTCCAGGGCGCGTGGGAACCCTGTAAATGTTTTACAAATCGATTGATTAATGATTAAAACGCACTATAACACTCTCATCTTTACAGCCTGAGGACAAATACACTGTTGTTCTAACTTATGTCTGTGTTTGGAAATAGATAATCAGTGGTAATAATAATTTGATGATAAAATATTGTTTTGGACTGTTGGTTGAATAAAATAAGACATTTAAAGCTGGCTAAACAATTAAGTGATAATAAAACAATCTGCTGATTAACTGATTAGTCACTCAAGAGAAAATAAATGGACAAGCAGGTTAATCATCAGGTAATAATTGGAATCGTTTATCAGGCAAAAAATACCAAATATTCACAGTTTGTAGCTTCTGAAATGAGAGGACTTGCTCCTTTGTGTCTGTATTATATCTGTGTACATTAAATATCTTTGTGTTTCAGACACCTGAGGCTGGGAAATAAACATTATGGTAACTTTTGTCATTATTTTCTGACAATTTATGAAGAGATTAATCAATGATAACAATAATTGTTATGCTGCATTCACATGGTAAAAATATGGTCAATTTTGTGATATTATTTGATGTAATTTATCTATTATTAGTGCCCAGATTGCCCATGTTGTCTCCTCCATCCGTTTTTTGGGGGCGGCTGTTGCTTAGAGGTAAAGCAGGTTGTCCAGGAGGTTGGTGGTTCGATCCCCGGCTACTCCAGCTGCACGTCGAAAATACTTTAACTTTGGATGGCAGCGTCGTCCACTGTTCTCTACTAGCTTGACCAAACTTCACCATCTTGCTCTCATCCACTAACATGATGTGGTAAATGAACATGGAAGAGTTAGTAATCAATGTATTGGTTTGGGGATGCCACCATGGTGATGAGGAAGTCAGATGAGAATCTGCTGACAGTCAACTCAGAGTTAAACTGTAACATTAAAAGAACCATTGTACTGAGGAAGGCCTGAGGCGCTGACATATGATTCACACTGGAGTTGCTGAGGTCTTCTCTCCATGCTGCATGAAGTAGAGAGATCTGATCAATCACATCAGGTCTGTAATTCCTCAGAGAACCAGCAACTCTCAATATTTTGGAAGAATTTCTCCTACAATGAGATCTGGTTTGCCGTCTAACGTTTGAATCATTCCTTTTTTATTCTTTACCAAATATATTACACAAATAAAACATGTTTTTCTGTCAGTGGGTTAGCGAGTAACGGGTGTGCAAGGTTAGTTGGGGGTTAAAGGGTCCTCTTAAAAACCTCAATAAAAAAAAAAAAAAGGGAGCAAGAATGACAGGTTACTCGCGGATGGAGCACAACGGTGTCTCCAGCCAGACGGTTTATCAGACGAATCACATGGGGCACGCAAGGTTCAGCCACTTGTATCAGGCGAACACGCGGCAGACAAAAAGAAGATAAACTTATCGTAGAGGAACATGATATCCAAAATAAAGATATCACACTTACAGATGTGAGCATGGCGCCGGACACACACACAAAGAAATTACTCGCATATAACAGCCAAATGTGTGACAGATTTTACATTTTGTGTTAGAAGTTGAGGTGCGCGCCTTATCAGGTCCTATCTTTTTATCTTTTTTTTTTTTTGTTAGTGAGCAGCCTCCGCGACGGTTTAATAATCAACCGGGGTTCGGCGCACCACTCGGGTTCCACGCAAAGCCTAAACAGCGTCGGCGATGTGCTTGGTGAGGTGTCTTGAACATGTGCTGCGTGAGAATTTATGAGCATTTGAAAAGGGGTCAATCCATCAAGGACTTACTGGTGGAGAATATTATATGTGTGTGTATCTAAGAATGGTGTTCATGCTGCAGGAGTCTGGCAAGAAAGCTCAGCCGGTGTGTGTGGTGTGTGTGGGTGTGTGTTGTGTGTGTGTGTGTGTGTGTGTGTGTGTGTGTGTGTGTGGTGTGTGTGTTCTGAGACAGTACAAACACCTGCTGAGGGACGAACAAACTCCCCACACAACACAGGGCGTGATATAGAACACCACCACTGTAACTTTCCCCCCTGACCTCACTAAGAGTGTTTTGGGTGTGGTACGACTTGGACAGAGAGGGTGTTTCTTTCCGGGCCCCTCGGAGCTGGAATTGAAAAAATTCCTCAGTCGGAGGGAAATTCGTCCAGTTGTCAGCAGCGGGCTGCAGTGGGATTTCACCGACCTGTAACCTGGTTTTTCTGAGGGGTTCTCCGAGCCATCACTCCTTTTTTTTCTATCAATCAAGCCGTCGCGAGGATCATCAGCCCTCTGAGCGCCTCATAGTGTGCACACAGATGGAGTTTTCAGGACAGCCCAACCCATCAGAAACCTGGTATAACACATCTGCTTGTTAAATGTCTGTGGACTTTTTCAGAGATGCCAACACACCTAAAACTTAATGGCTGTATCATGTTGCATTCCTCCGCTCGGCAAACACCGCCCAAATGCATATCAACCCTAGTTCAGATAAGATCATAAGATGATTTATGCTGCACTGTCACGATGGATCAGGTACACAGCGCTATTATCGATGGTGACAAAGTTAAAGATGTTATGGTGAAAACGACACTGAGAGTCTACTGCCAGATCTGTGGAGGCTGTAATGTGAGCTAATGTCAGCATGCTGATGCTTCAGGTGGGACATAGTGATTGCATGCCATGTCTCACGCCATCGTCGGGTTGAAGCTGTTATCCAATGCAAGCTTATTTCGCTAATCGGCTCTGAATGAGTTCACAGTTGGTGGTTTTATAGTGAAATATGTCATAATTATTGGATTGAATTGACATTAAATTTGGGTCACACATTCAAAGTCTCCATCAGTATGAATTCTGAATAACTTTGGGAATGCCCCAGCTTAGCCTCTAGCGCGACCATCGGTCAATTTTGTCCATATTTTACAGAATAACTGCTAAATGACGTTCCTTTCGGCTGCAGCTGTACTTGTGTTTATTGCTTATTAGCAAATTCTAGGCAATTGCTAACAAACCCACTAAACTAAGATGCTAAAGCATACCTATAAAACAGGAAGCATATTTTGGCATGCGACGGTGAGCATTCCAGCGCCTCATTAGTACAGCCCGCAGAGTGCTGCATGGGCTGAGACTCGATTCTTTTGAGTGGTTTGCTGATGTTTCTTTATGTTTAACACCTATTTATTTGTATATTATTCTAATTATCTATTTGTTTGTGGAGCTTAGGGTTGATGTGTGGTTTTAGGAGGTTAAAAACTTAAAAAATGTTTGTATTTCTGTTATAAGAACTACTATTTCATGTAGCAGTGCACAATTTTTGTTTAGGCAACAGCAGCAATAAAAACAAGATAAAAAGTATGAATGCTTCTTGAATATGTAAAAAGTAAATAAGATATGCAGGACAGCCACCGAGTCTGAGTGATTCAATTAGGCCGAAAGGCCAACATATTTCTCACCCAGATGTTTTG